ACAAATTACTAAACACCGTTATGCTGCTAGTGGAAATATTTTATTGTACTCATAATCCATTTCTCCAGCTGCAATAAGTAGCCGCTGCTTATTTGATTGGCAGCTAGCCTTCTTGAATTACATTTAGAAGGAGATACTCTCCGGCTTTGTGTTGTCATGTAACAAGCGGACAATTTTGTGGCACACAGAACATTTTAAATGCCGAAAAACTAATGGCAAACAATATGCTGTATTGAAAATAGTTCATTCTTCATTTTTTTAGTGATTGTGCATAAGTGGTCACTACGCTATGGATCATTTTTGCGTCATTTGTTGCCTCTCGTAACAAGCTGGTGCTGTGTGCATGACAAAGACTGTTTACACCAATCATATACAGCTAGCGACCATTTCGAAAGGAAGTAACCAGGGATAGTTTAACATTATAATCGCCCACATTTTGTTCTTTCAAAGGAAAACTTCGTTCACACCGTTTGTATTGGCATATTTGTGCAGGTGCCAGGGGGCCTCTTAAAGAAGTGTTAATGCAAATACAGTGAGTGTAAACAATGTACTATGCCCCTAACACCCCAAATTATACATCTTTAAAGAAAAGGGTTGAGAAGTTGACAATAAGTTAGTAATAGTAATTCAGCAATAGAATAGTATTGATAATTGCATGCTCTAGAAACAGTGTTCAGACTATTAGAAAAGAATACAAATTATGATATACACAAGCCTGAATATATGCAAGAAAGTGTTAATAATTATTATGAAAAAAATATAACAGCAATCATTCGTTGAAAAGACATGGCTTATTTCTCCGTGAAAGGATTTGGCATATAACACAAAAGTAAAATGCATCTTCAGAGGGTAATTAAATGTTTACTGAACATTGATAAAGGAGGATTGGCTGAATACATGTTTTGGTGTTTGGTAGCTGTAACCCCATTCAATGTGAATGTATCCTTGTTGACGCCTGGTACATCTCCGTCCCGAAAAATAACATCCTTGATAAATTTATCGAACAAACTTTTTTGGTATATGTAGATGTTAACCGCCAAAACATAATCACATGAAGAGACGTGATAACAAGATGAGCATCACATATTGGGTGCAGAAATCGGCCTAAGGGTGCTATTCCTCGGCCTGTTAATGTGTGATTGAACTTCGTAGTATCTAAAAAAGTGAGTCACGTCACCTCTGTGTATGTATGCGAATTCATGTGAGCGTGTCGATGAAGTTTTCTTTCTTGATATATATATATATATATATATATATATATATATATATATATATATATATATATATATATATATATATGGGATATGGCACAACGGGAGCGTTGTCAACAAGAATAAATATATTTATTTCCCAACACTTTCGGGAGGGGTCCTCCCTTCATCAGGGGCGAGTTATACTAACACGAACTTCCACACTTCGTTGCTGCGGCGTCCCTCTCGCCTTGGAAGATGTTTGCAAGAGTGAGAGAGAACTAAAAAAAGAAAGAAAGAAAAAAAAGAAAAAAGAGAAGAAAAAAAGACGAAAAGAACATCTGCGGACAAGAATATATCAGCCAAACAGACACGCCATTTCGGCTGCGGTTCAATAATCACCGGTACCACGCCACTTCACTGCCGAAGCTACCTTTATCTAGACATCTGCGCCTGCCAAACCACAGTTTTGAAAATATCAGCGTAACTCTTTTGCTGTCCGGTTTCTCAAACAGACGCGAGCGCGAACAGCGTGAGGCGTATTTTATTTTCAAATTTAGAACATTAGTAGCCGGCATCAATGAGTACCGCGGAAGACTCTCCTGCCTCCGAGAAGTAAGCCTGGAGGAAATTGGTGACAAAGATTGATAGCTGGAGACCATGCTTGTTTTTTCTGACTGACTTGTACTTGTACACTGTCCTTTCTTGTTTGTTTTTCTCTTCTTTTTTTCCTTTTTTTTCTTTTTTTCACATGCACATACAAAGTGGTTCTGTTCGCCTACCACTTGATGACCATTGAAGGGAAACGGACGAAGATGAAAGAGAGCCGACCGACCCATTAAGGGGAAACCCTTTCCTTACGCACGCCATCACGGACCCCTCCCGCTGCTGCGGCGACAATCTTGGGTGGCCCGACAGACGCCGAGAACTGACCAGCACGGAACAGGATGTGGACGTACATGGACATTTGGTTTTGTTCTAAGTGTTGACAGTGGTTCTTCCTCTTTTTTACTTTCTTTTTTTCTTTTCTTTTTTTTCTTTTTTCCCCTTTTATTCTTTTTGTCTTTTTCTTCTCTTTTTTCTTTTTTTCTTTCTTTCTTTCTTTTTTTAGTTCTCTCTCACTCTCGCAAACATCTTCCAAGGCCAGAGGGACGCGGCAGCAATGAAGTTTGGAAGTTCGTGTTAGTATAACTCATCCCCTGATAAAAGGAGGACCCCTCCCGAAACTGTTGGGAAATAAATATATTTATCCTTGTTGACAACTCTCCCGTTGTGCCACATCCCATACCTTCAAGAAGACTAACTGGCCCATTGAATTATTACTCCCACTGATATATATATATCTATATATATATATATATATATATAGCTGACGAGTGAGGTAGGTATGCCCCACCACTCGTGAAAGAGTTGGTACGCCACTGTGCTGCTGTATTTACGCTGCTGCATTTGTGTACACTGGCGCCCCTGCAAAAGCATGGAATCGGCCAATCAATTGTTCCGACATCCGTGCGATTGTGGCGGTGCCTTTCTCGTAACTTTCGGCTAAAGACAAAGGCGATGTGGCGACTACCTAAAAGCGCGCCAGTATGACTTATCATCAATGAAAAGTCTATGTGTGTGGCGTAGCGCTGCTCTAAGCTTACTGCAAGCTTTTAATACCCGGTGACTACCTGAGATCTCTGAGGCACCGATCGCTGCCGCATCAATCGTGCGGTACCATGTTCAGCGTACATAACTTTGTAGAAACGAAAGCAGCTTGCAGTTCAAAGTTGAGTGTTGTGGATCGCAGATACCAAGACGGCAAGCATAGCTCACGCTTTCATGAGGCGACAGTCCAAATGCATCTCCGTCTGCCACCAGGACCTTTATAGCATAACTTCCTTGAAGTACGCATCATCGCGTTTAACGCAACAGGCTTCTCGCCGCACGTGTCCACGGCCTGAAGCGCAGTGGGCGCAAGCAGCTCAGCACGGTGTGTATGCCAAGTAGGCAAAGCACTGCATGCAACTAGCCAGTGGATGATCGGCTCCTTGCGACTGCACTGCGTCTCAAAAAAAAAAAAAAAAAGGCTAGTTTTTGTTTAGTAGCAGATCGCAGTACACGTTTGTCGTGGACAGCCGATTGTATCCGTTTCCTCGCTATGTCAGTCACTGCGTTGGCAGCATATCCTGGACTCTGCTGTAGTTTAAAAAGGCTCTTTGATGTCGCCACCACATGCCATCGAACAGTTGTCCGAAAATGCCAATCGTTTCTGAACATTGGCAAAAAGAGAGAAATGGCTTCGTGGCGACCACTTTAGGCAATGGGGAGTTTTCAAATAGCATACGTTAATTTAGCGGGTGTTGCATTTGCCTATGCGTGTTTTATGAGTTTTCGAATAATGTTTGTGCCCTGGCACCGCACAGGGCTTTGCTGGCCTTGTGCGTTGCCCGCACGCTATTTCGGATTTTTTTGCGGGCGGACCACAAACGCTTACTGTGGTTAGCGTTATGACGCATGCGCAGTAGCAACGACCTTAACGCAAAGCTTTGCAGCATGCTATTCGAAAACTCCTAATATTTGCTGCGACACTGGATTTATTCCTTCTTTAGTGGTGATGGCGCACATAAAGAAATGCAAATTAGTACTTGGTCATTGACATGCACCCGGGGGCAGAGGGTGGTTGCGGGGTGCAAAGTCAGCCTCATAGATTTTTATGTTAGGGAGAGGGGGAGCTGCTACGAACCTTTGAGCCCGTCTCCCCCAAAGGGGATTCTGCGCACGGTTATGTACTTGGTGGTTAATGCAGACTGCGTTTAGTGCGTAGTTAGCCGTGTTCCTGGCAGGTTGTCAGCATGTAAGTACGTATAATGAGGTTTTACTGTAATGAGCTTGGACTGTTTGTGTGTGTGTATGTGTGTGGGTGCACACACACACACGCTGCTATGAACTTCATGTTGCAGCTAGCTTGGTGCAATATCTTTCACTATTTTATGTCACTGCTTCTGTATATAATCCTACCTTTGTTTATTTTGTGGGTGTGCTGCTTCTGTAGAAGTGCTTATGGAAACTGAGGGAACATTAAACTAAATTAAAGCTAAAATGCCTTCCTCTGTGTGTGTCATGGAAAGCTTGTGTGTGCTTCGAACACAGAGGTAGCTGCTCCAAAATGCTTGAAGGCGTTCCCACCACTGTAGGGTCAAAAGCCATAGTTTGTATAGTACCAAATGAATTGACTGCAGATTACGCCAAAGAAAGCATGAGTTATATTAATTGTTGTCTTCAACTGCAGAGTACTAAATATGATGTAAAGTGGCGGAAGATAATCACCCTTTGTTGTCACATCTGGAACCTTTGCATTACGTGTCCAATGCCCTGCCAGTTGAGCTTTGACACAAGGCACTCTCCCGTCCACTCTGTTGGGTATTGCCGTGTGTGTAAATCCTGGGAATGTTTGCCAGTGCCACTTGCAGCCAAGGCAGCAGGTGTGGAACACTGTTTTTGCCAGACCGCGTCACATGGCACGTGAATTTTTGCTCGAGGCATAAGCTGACCACTGAACCCTGACATGCCAAACTAAGGTGTTAAATCTGCCGGTGCAAGGATCTTGTTACGAATGTACGAAAGAAGGGAAGCCTCTTTGTGGGGCATGTTTCAAAGATTGCATATGGGATGGTAGAAAATATGCACTCACAAGTTTCGGGTGTTCAGCATTGTAACCCGCTGCAGTAGTGTTGCAGGTAGTATCGAAGGGAATGCAGAGGCTTATTCTTTTGCCACTGCAGCTTTGTTTGAATTTACCATTAAAATTATGCCTGTTGGGTGCAGGGCCTTGATGGATGCTGAGAAAGCAATCAGCCTGCAGCCCCAGGTGGCCACGGGCTACTTTCGCCGTGCCAAGGCACAACTTGGCCTGCAGAAGTACAGTGAGGCTGCAGAATCGTTCAAAAAAGTGCTTGAAATTGACCCAACCTGCCTGGAGGCCCAAACTGAGCTGCGCAATGTGCACATTTTTGAGATCATGGTGAGGCACCTCCTATCCTCTCGTAACTCATTTGCAATTCACGTCTGTTTATTTGACCATTTTAGAACTGGAGGAATTTGTATATACAGTAGACTATGTAGACGGAGCCTGAAGGTACCAGGAAAAGGTGTTTAATTTAACAGGATTTCTATTTAAGCAACAGGCGTCTCTCATAATCTTATGGTGGTTTTTAGACGTTAAACTCTACATTCATTATCATTTAAGCAGCAGTTGCTTTAACAGATTTCCATTTACTGAGAGCCTCCTATAGTTCAAAGTAAGATAGGCAGGATACACATAGACATTTAAGCTCATGGTGCTTCAAGTCAGAATTTATTCTAAGGTGTAGCCAACTTTAGTAGCTTTTTAGTTGAGGTGTGAAAAATATTTAAACTTCCAAATATTTTTCTGACAGCGTTTGCTATTCAATTTGCATCAGAACTTTACTATTTGAAGTATTCAAACTTTTGAAAAATATACTGGTCAATAATAACTGAAAACAAATATAAAGACAATAAATTGCCATGCAGCATGCCTCATCTTTTGTTTGGGGCTTTGACATGCGACATTGCTAGCCACTTCCACTGGTGCTCCCAACGGACGCTGCATGATGAGCTTGGTTGGGGGTTCCACTGCCGATGCATAAAATGCCCATCCACGGTTCCAAGCAGCCAGCAGGCGGTGCATTTTGCTAGTGATGGAGCATATTGCGACTTCCTTGTTATCGCTTGTCCACTAGCGGGATGTTCTAGCCAGCGAATCTCGGATTCATCTCGTACATTGCAGAGCCGTGAGTGGAGATTGGCCTAACCACGACTCCAGAGCAGTGAGCTAGCTCAATTACAGTATTCTTGGCTGCAGTGCCCGATGTTTCAAAGTATGTCGTGCTCCGTAACGAGTACAAAGTGTCGTCCCTCGATGGTCTTTCGTCACGAGGGCCAAAGTGGTCATAAGCAGAACTGTTAGTGATGAGTTATTTTCAGAGGCATGTTTGCAATGTTCGTGATGTGCTCGGCTTCTTGTCATAATCATATGCGTTAGCTTTTGCCTGCAGCTGCCAAGTTAAAGCGGGATTATTTTTAAAGTGATACCTGACCTGTGAACACAGACCGTGAGCGAGCGTGTCATTAAGTAGTGCAATTTTATCAGCCATGACCGCACATTGTGCAAGCAGCAGACGACACTCGTCGAGAGGTGCTCCCGGGGCAAGGATAGGACCAGCTGCGAGGCATGCTGGAGCAACTTGGCGACTTCAAACATTTGTTTTTATACACTTGTTTCTGAGTTGAGGAGCTAGGCAAAGCGGGGAAGTTGAGCACAAAAAAACTCTCTTTCTGACTAGTGCAATATGACGGCGCTTGGTTACGCCATTGCAGAGCTATAATGTTTTTAAAAATGCCCTTATTTTCTTTTTCTTTTTTAGTTTTTGTGATTTTCAAGATTATTTTGCCGTATTGGCAGGTGAATTTTTAAACACGTCATGGAAGTTTTCAGTGAATATATTTTGGTACAGAAAAAGGGCTGCATAACTGAAAATTGGGTTTTGAGAAAAATCGATTTGGTATTTTTCATGCACTCACACTTCTCCAGCGTCTGCAGAAGCGGTGCGTGAAAAAACAAGTGCCCTCTCCTATCCGCACTGATGCTGTCGCCAATGTGCAAAGTATTGTGGACACCTTTTTGGTTACACCAAATCATGTAAATAAAATGCAATTTGGCCCCGCCGCGGTGGTCTAATGGCTAAGGTACTCGGCTGCTGACCCGCAGGTCGCGGATTCAAATCCTGGCTGTGGCGGCTGCATTTCCGATGGAGGCAGAAATGTTGTAGGCCTGTGTGCTCAGATTTGGGTGCACGTTAAAGAACCCCAGGTGGTCGAAATTTCCGGAGCCCTCCACTACGGCGTCTCTCATAATCATATGGTGGCTTTGGGACGTTAAACCCCACATATCAATCAATCAATTAAAATGCAATTTGGCTTCTACATTTTCTCATTTTTTAAAAAAACATGGGCTTACCAGCACATCTGTGTGCTTCATCAGTGCTTCTTCTATGACTTTCAGTGCCTGTTCGAACACCCTCTCGCGGCCCTCGGGCGCTTGCGTTTTTCACGCTCACTGCCACTGCAGGGCGATTCTATGTAACCCAGGGGGCTGTGGCGGGGTCGGGTGCGTGTCAGTGTGTTCTTGTTTTGCTGTGCCTTGACACTTGCGATAGATTTAGCGAGTTGAATGCGATCGAAGTTTTTTTTTATCCTTTGTCATGACTACGTAGCTTGCATAATCAGCGATGTCGTACTGTTGCGTGCCGCTGTGCAAGTCGGACAAAAAAGAGAAAGTGCCTGGACTGTCGTTGTACAAAAGTCCTGCTGCCACCAATGTACCAGAGAAATGGTTGGCCGCTATTGGACACTACGGCTGGTCGCCTAATGCAATATCCTGTTACACGAAGGTGCGCCGTTATCATTTTCACGTAGATGACATTTTTGAAGGAAAAGGCGACAGTTGAAAAAAAGTGCAGTGCCTTCAGTTTTTTATGAGTACCCCAAAGACTTTCAGCCAAAAGCAAGGTCTGAACAAAGTACAGCAAGCATTTAAAAGCAAGCTTGTGCTCCGTTGCGACTGGGGAGTAGTCATGCAACAAGCACTGCTTCTGGCCTGTTGCCATCTGCAGTGCCCGCACCACCAGAACCTGAATGGGAGGAACACCGCTGATTGTGGCAGCCAAACCAATCAGCACAATCAAGTTACGCATGGTAATGAAGTTGCGCTCAAGACTCCTGCATGTGACTGAAGTGTCCAAGTCAACAGCAGGCAAGCGTCAACTTTGTTGACCGTAGAAAAAGCCAAGTGGAAAACAAAAAAAAAAAAAAAAGAACTGAGGAGCCAGGTGCTAAGATCGCAACAGACTTTAGAGAAGTACAGGTCGACCATTAAGGAATGGTTAAAATGTCCGGAAAATCGGGCAGCCGAGAAAAATGAACGCCAGCGAAAACACACTTTTAATAGGTATTTTATGCTGACGGATAGGGTCGCAGCAGGAGTACGTGGTACTCATTGTAATTCAGCAAATGCATCTTTTAGGTGGCTCTGAAAAAAGCTGAAAGGAAAAAAGAAAATAAAAAGAATCCGATGCGGCCGGCACTATCACATGTGTAAACACTTAGACACACACAAAAAAAATTTGCTTATTTTTGTTTGCACAGCGTTCCACTTGCCAGCAATGATGTCTGCCTCAATTTCATTTAACGTCATGCTGTCGCTATACATCGATGACAGTGTCAGTGCTCGCATCAACTCTGAGCTTGTTGGCTGTGTAGGCGCTCCCTCTTTGATCTCAGTGTCGGGGTCGTCGGAGTCCTCCGTAACCTTATGAATGATTTGGTCATCGGTCAATTCTGCACACACCTGAAGATCTTTGTCAGCGTAAGTGAAGCCCTCAAGGATTATCCCGGCTGAAATCGAAACGCCGCAGTGTGCAGATCGTCGAAGGCAACACGGGGCGGAAGTCATACACACTGTCCACTCCGGGCGACATGGCTGTCTCTGTGTCCAGCATAAAGCTCGTGTGGAGAAAACAGTTTCGGAGGGTCTGTTATGTAACCGCCTTCCACGAGTCAGCAAACATGGCTCAACCATTACTTTTATTAAGAATATTTATCGCTGGTTTGTACTGCACGACACGAGCAATACTATGCAGCACATATATCAGAATTTCAATGATGCTCGACACTATGAAGACTGAATATCCTAGGCTGGAGTGGCTTGAAGTCAGCTTTCCAATGTATTTGGATGGTTCGAAGAAGAGGTGCAATCATCCGCGACGATTTCTAACAAAGGAGACATGTGAAATAGTTCTCGTCACCTCTTACTCTACGTTGGCATGTATTAGACACCTGCTCACAGATGAGAGCTCCTTCTTCATTCTTACTTGCTGGTTCAACAGAGAGCCAATAGAGTCATTGTTTGGGATGCTGAGGATGTTGTCAGGTGCAAATGACACACTAGATGTTTGTGCTGCCCTTTCGGCTCTAGAAAAAGTCTTGAAAACTGAAATCGCTGCGGCTAATGTCACATCAAATGTTGCTCATGCTGAGAGTTCAATGTCAGTGCCCCTACATGCCAGTGGTTCAAGTTCTCAACCGTTGTAGACTTTGTTTGCACGGCTTCCCTCTACTGCAAACACAGATGTGCAAACATCATCTTCGATGGAAAAGGCAGTTGTGGTGTTTCAAGGGCTAAATAACCACTTCTGTGTTGCCTCAGTGCCCGCCATTCTTTCAAATATCGGCCACTATGTATGTAGGGGCTATGTTGTCCGTGTAGTCAGTGCCTCTCTGTGTCTGTGCTCTCTGTGACTGTGCCTCTCTGTGTCTAAGCCAGCCAGCAAACAGCCGCTCTTTCAGCTGACACGCCACCAGGACTGTGGTGGTCTGCTGTATCCATCTAACTAGCTCCTGTTGTCCTCAACACTTGCCGAGGTTTTGCAGATGGTCCACTCGAAGACAACCAGACTTTAGAAAAGCCACTTAGCACTCGAAGACAACCAGACTTTGGCAAAGCCACTTAGCACTTTGACAGGGTTGCAGCGCTCTGTGCATCAAGGTTCCTTGAATGCAAGAGTAATAACAGCTATCACCACATGGTGCAACTCATGAACCTAATGTGCATTTACTTTCTCAGGCCACTCCTCTCGAACTATGCATTTAATGCGACTGACAAACAAGATGCTTGCAAATATATCGCAAGGAAGCCACTTTCAAGAAAATATGTAAGCCTTTTAGAAAGGCTGTGTCGTCATGCATTATATGTGTTATTTTATTTTGTCAACAAATATTTTCATTGTAAGCTATTTCGTGTAATGCGTTGAGAAATATTGTTTTCTTTTGCAATTTACCAGTTTTTTGTGAGCAGATGTTTTGACCTTAGGCCATGGTATGTGTGGCTTCAAAAAATAGTTTTTTTGTGTAATTTATTATCTTTTTCTTGCCATAAAACGTTGCATTCTTGGGACAATTTATGTATGGCTTTGAAAAGTAATGCTTTTTACAATTTATTGTCTTTTTCTTTTGTAGCAAATGTTTGTCTTTCGCCAATATATGTATGGCTGTGAAGTAGTTTCCTTACGCTGTTAACTTTTTTTTTTCGTCACTGAATGTTTCATTATATTGGGCCAATTCATGTGAGGTTGCGAAAATTGTTGTGTGTGCAATTTTATATTTATTTTTGTACACAAATGTATTAATTGCAGACCAATACATTACAGTCAAACCCCGCTACAACAAAACTGACGGAGGGCGGAAAAAATTTCGTTGAAGTGAGAATTTCGTTGTACTTAAATAAAAAAAAATATAGCTGATCCGAGCTACCAAGCAAAGGAACGTTTATTCTCAAAATTCAAAAAATGTCGCTGCTTCCTATTCTTTCTCAGCAGCGTCACGTGATTCTCAGCAGCGTCACGTGCATAGCGAGGCCATAGTGAAAGGCATGCTGAAACAACGGCTAAAACCGCTTTCGTGAATAAACCAAACAGTTACATTAACACGTTAACACCAGCAGCTGTCCTCCGTCAAAAGTATCCGAGAACGCCGAGATAGAGGCAAGGTATCGTGGAGCAGCGACTTTTGCAGTATTATATGCCATTCTTATCATCTATCACTCGCGGCTTGCTGATTTTGTTGATAATACGGACGAACAGCCGCTCTGATTAGTTACCACGCTGGCCAAGCGCGAACATAATCATAAACATCGGAATCGGAAAAGGCATCGTGCCGCAGTTGCACCAAGCAGCTGCGAGAAGGAAACCATCAACTGAGTGACTGAGCTTCAGCTTCAGATCGTCTATGACTCAAAAGCAAGCCAGTGGCAAAACGAAAATAGGGCAGTCTCATCGCCATCACTATCGAGCAATGGCGGCGCCCATGCTTGCTGAATAACGGCGGTACAGCAGCGGTTTCTGGGGATGCCAACACGTGTTTTAGACTTCGTTGACGCATTTTCAGGCTCTGAAAATGCATCGAAATGTTAAAGATTTGGCCTACTGCATAGCAATAAGTATCTGAGCCTGAAATCGCATTGCAAAATGTCGTTGAAGTGAGGCGATAGAAAAAAAAAAAAGGGTTCGTTGGGCCGACAATATTTATGCTTTGACTCCTATGGACTGCTGACAGGGAATCGTGAATTTTTCGTTGTAGCGGAAATTTCACAGAAGTGGCGTTTGTTGTAGCGGAGTTCGACTGTATATGTAAGGCTACGACAAAGGTTGCTTTCTTCCAACGAAAGATTTTTTTCCCTTGTCACCTGATGAATCAATCCTAGGCAGTAGGTTGAACCCTGGACAGAGAAACAGCCTGCCTTTTTCTTCATGCTCGATCAATATTTTACAAGATATGTTAAATAGGACTACAAGTTGGTTCATTTGGATTTGGTTAACGATGAAACGTAGACCAGTTTGGGATTGAATTATCTATAAACTTGCTTCATGGTTGAGCGTAAAGTCAGCAACTGCAGGTTTTGAAAAGTGTTCTCTTTGATTAATTGATCCTGATGGAGCAAGTTAAATAGCATAGCGGCTGAGTAGGCCTTGCTTCTACCAATCATTGTTTGGAAGTCAGAAAAACACGAAACAAATCTAGCAGCCGCACCTGCACAAGTGATGTGCGGGAAGCGGGCGAAAGACCGTGAAACTCTGTTTGGGTGGCGGCGCCTAACGGTGAACGGTTGCACTTGCGCCGACAGTCGTGCCTTTTGTTCTCCTCCCTGTTCACCAGGCACTGAGTTATAGAGGAAGCATTGGTTTCATCAACCTAGCCTAAAGTAACACTTCGAGGTTCCTATCGCATAAGACTATGCACAGGGATTTTCTGCAACATTCTTATTTAACTTGGCTTTGAAGTATTAAAAAAATTTTTGATTCAGTTAGCTCACTGGTTTTATTATTCGAATTTACTTGGCACTGAAAAGTTTGCTATGCTCACATCTCTACTTTTTAGTAGAAAAGCATGTTCACCAAAGTGAAATGTGCACATAATTTTGTAGCATAAGAATTGCATCACACCTCTCCTTCTAGCAATTGCATGTAAGTAGCAACAGGTTTGCCTTCAGGGAATGAAAATTTACTTCCACTTAAACTTAAATCATCATCACTGTCAAGCTGTCTATTCTTTGATTGTACTCTGTGCCTTACTTTCTACATTTATTAAATGTCTTCCATAACTAATGTGATTTAGATGGTGGCTTATGCCCTACGTTACTCTTTTCCTCTGCCTGTAATGCAAAACTGTGACATGTCTGACTTTGTTAATACTGTCACAGCATGTGCAGCAGCTTTGTTTTTGATTGAGGTCTTATAGCAAGTGTAGCATGTCATCCTCACCAACACATCTTAATGGGGCTCTGCAGAACTTTTTGAGCATGGTCAGAAAGTGCTGCTGATCAGTGGTCAAGGCTTCCGAGAACATTCAAGCCAAATATTATACCGCAACATGGGGCCTAGCATTCGCAATAAATTCTCAGTTGCTTTCTCTTGACAAATGATGATACAAGCTCAAAAACTGCTTGTCACAGCCATTGTATAAGCCTTTGGCTGATTTGAGCATGGCGCGCTCGGTCGTTGCGGGAGCCGCCACTGGAGGTTGCCACTTGTCCACACATGAGCGCGTGATCACACTGAAAACCCGCGTATTCAAAGGGGAAAAATATAGAGAGAGAGATAGTGCTCAAGGTCACAAGGCGCGCGTGACTTGTGACCGAAGAGTATTTTCTTTCCCCGTGCCATTCCTCTCTGCTTCGCTTCCAGTGCTTTCGTCGGGACGACAAAAAAGAGAATGCGATTGCAGCGGGCAACAAATCTTTCTAACTCCGCTCGTACTGGACGAATTCCAAAAGTTTTTGGGGCGTGAACTTGTGGGGCAATAAGCTTCTTCAGTGAATTCATTCTTAGGCTACTTGAAAAACTGTTGCAAGCCCTATTAAGAGAAAATTGTGCGAACTAAATTAACGGCTGCCACCCTGCTCTCTGCACACTTTCTTCTGCTTTATATTTTATCTATGTTATCTGTCTCAAAAGAGTCCTGTAATGGCTTTTCTTTCTCCCCAGAGCATGGGTTTCTCCCAGGAGCAAGCTGAGTGGGCTTTGACCCTGGGCGATGAAGATTTCCAGAGAGCCATAGTCATACTTTGTGGGCCAGATGCAGTTGTTCCTGATGTTAAGATGAATCCTTGCAACATGGATGGCTATCGCTCTCTTTGGGTTGGCAACATTCAGCCTGAAGTCACTGAGAAGATGCTCATTGACCTGTTCAGGCGGTACAGTCTAATATTATTTTTTTGTGATTCATTATTTTTATTTTTTACTTAATATAATATGTGACAATGAGATTTGGCTTCTCTTTAGAATAAAGCTTATAAAGCTTGTTACCACTGCTGTGATACAGTGGTTATGGTGTTAAGCTGCTGACTGAAAAGACCCGAGTTCGGTCCCATTTACATTTTGATGGAAAGGAAATCCAACAGGTCAATGTTCTGTGAAATGTCACTGTCAGTACACATTAAAAAGCCTGGGTGGCAAATTTTCTGCAGCTGTCTGCTATGTTGTGCCTCATGATCATATTATTGCGAATATATTTATTTACAACTTATTTACAGAAGGAAATACTCCAGCAGTCAAGATTGGCAGCTGTGGTTTTTTCTGAACATCAGCACTTCGTTGTCCTCCTCTTTGCACATCACACCTTAGTCGTGGCTGTTACCTCGGGAAAAACAACAGCCGCCATCTAGACTGCTGGACTATTTTTAATGTAAATAATTCGTAAGTATATTTGAAACATTTTGGTGGACATGCTGGGTACAACACACGATGGAACTCCATAGCGGATGTATCCTCGACTGCCTCGTAGCAATATCAAGGCTTTGGTGGATAAAATGACCGATACATTTGTTTGCAAGCAAGTTTCGCCACTAGCATGTCAAGTAGATCCTTTTACTTGCTCTAACTTGGCAATAAACACTATGCATGTATGACCGTTCATATGAGGTCAGCCTTGTGTTCTGAGAAAAAAGAATCTTAAAAATTGACTCAGTTGTGCATTGAAGTACAGCCTAGGATGCAAAAATTCAATTTTGGTAGCAATTTTTTGCCAAGATTATTTGCATATCATGAATTTTTGGGAACTAAATTTATTTGAGTAGCATCTTAATCACTTAATGATCAAATGTTATGATAAGAAGGATTATCACAAAAAAGAGAAACAGGAAACACCAACCAAAAAAAGAGTTAATTTCGTCTTAATGTTTTTAATGTCTTAATGGAAAGGTTCAAACTTTTTTTATTTTGATTGTGATTTCTTGTTTCCTTTTTTTTTTTCATCATGCTGCTTCTCGACCACACAAATTATTATCGAACCACCTATTTCAGAATAATAGTTTCTGAGGGTGTATGAATAGTACAATAGAACCTCAATTATTTGTCCCCCCCGTCATGCAACGACCATTATTTTACAACTAATTGGTTCGGTTCCTGCAAAACATTCATGGAATAAATGCTGATTGATTGATATGTGGGGTTTAACATCCCAAAACCACCATATGATTATTAGAGATGCCTTAAAGGGGGGCTCCGAAAATTTCGACCACCTGGGGTTCTTTAACGTGCATCCAAATCTGAGCACACAAGCCTACATTTCCGCCTGCATTGGAAATGCAGCCGCCGCAGCCGGGATTCGATTCCGCGACTGGCGGGGCAGCAGCCGAGTACCTTGGCCACTAGACACTCGGGGCGGGGCGGGAATAATGTGTTGAAAACCTCGGTTTCATGGCAATTCACCTGACATTAGATTTCTTCGGTTATTCAGTTTTCTTTGCTCCAGAAACGCTTCTGGGTAGGCCTCGATCACATGCATGTTCCAGGACTGTTAGCAAGACGAGCTCGATCTACACGAAGTACCTCAAGCTGATTGGCAAGCTCAGTTCATATATATTCCCATTTTCGACCTATGGAAACTTTTCTTGGTCAACATGCAACTGAAGATCTCCCCCCCCCTCCCCTGGCCTTTATTTGCATTACACATGGCTGTAGGCCTCGAGTACGCAAGAAGGAGGTGACGCTGCTATTTTCAACATGCTAAATACCTCTTCCTTGATGCAAGCATTCACAATTAAGGAGGCACATCACCGATTGCACTTTGTTAGAAACAAATTGAGCACACACAGGTCTCAGTCACGTATGTAATCATCCTAGGTAAGTGAACTCTCTGCAAAATGTGCTCCATTACCATTTCCTTATGGTAGTAATACTGTATCTGACTGTTGTGACCAGAGCGTGTTGCTGATGTGGCTTCAGTTTTGCTTTCACGTGCACGCAAATTCTGGACACATTAGATTAGACTCCCCCCCCCCCCATTTTTATAGTTAGTATTTGCTTGCACCTCTTTCAATTAAATGAATGACTGTCATTTTTACTGCAGAGCTGTTCATGCCACCCATCAGATGAAACAGACACAAAGAGAAAACTGTCATCATAAACTGGGACGTATTATTTTCATCCTTTTCATCATCTGCTTTGCCCCCGGAACACATGCGCCAATTGTTCTAGTGTTGGCTGGAATAACTCTGATTGGTGAAAGAAAGAACAGAAGGAGAGAGAGAAAAAAAAAGAAGTAGGAAGAGAAATTCTTAGCAAAAAAAAAAACCTTGATGAGGTGTCATATGAACGCACCATCTGAAGACGAGCATCTTAACCGCTTGGCCATCAAGGCATGCCAGCAGAGCATAAAATAGCCTAGTACAGTATAGTGTACCAAGGGGATAGAAAAGGGAAGTGTATGTGAGGAGGAGGGAAAAGAAAAGAGGATATAGCATTGCTTAATGTAAGTGACGCCCCCTGCAGTGCTCTTGTGGTTAAGGTACTCGGCTGCTGACCCGCAGGTCGCGGGATGAAATCCCGGCTGCGGCGGCTGCATTTTCAATTGAGACGAGAACGCTGTAGGCCTGTGTGCTCAGATTTGGGTGCATGTTAAAGAACCCCAGATGGTAAAAATTTTCGGAGCCCTCCACTACGGCACCTCTTATAATCATAAGGTAGTTTTGGGACGTTAAGCCCCACATATCCATCAATCAGAAAAAGTAAGTGTTGTGAGATCGAGGCGCACAAAGAAGAAGCAACACTCCACATTTCTTGCTTTTGTTGGACAAGTCTCGATGCATAGCAGAAGTCGTCGAACTTGAGAATGTATGCAGGCCATTTGGAGGCTTAATCAAACATGAATGGCTTCGGAGGCTTGAGAGAGAAGCCTGTCGCCCCACTCATAGCTGTCGTAGCTGAATCTGTCATCGCGGTTGTTGAAGACCGTTGAGGACGACAAGAGCAGTGGCTAGAAGAAACTGCAGAAATATCCCACGTCTCAAACCATGTCATGAGCTCGAAAAGCGCAAAGAAGAAGTGACTCTCCACACGACTTACTGGTAACAAAAAGTCTTTATTTAACAGGTGCCGTGACGTGTTTGCCCTCGTAGTATTATCGGATTTGCGCACTCCCCCGAGAGGGCGCACTGGGCTGTCAGTCATTTACACTACGTGGCGCGTGCGTAGGTGAGGCGCCATGCCACAGTAAGGATTAGAAAGAAAGGGGGAAAAACAGACAGAAAGATGAGTAAATCAAACAAAGAAAGAGAAACATATAAAAAGTGAAAGGCAGCAGAAGCAAGGAATAGAGAGAGAAAAAGAAAAAATAGAAGAAAGAGAAACAAAAAAGTCTGCCAAGCTGTGCACTTTCTTGACACTCGGCACCACTAGTGTGAAGCTAACTTAAGTTTTTTAAAGCTGATTTAATCTACCCTCTTTTGAGAAAAGCAGGTTAGTGCCGTGGAGTTTTGTAAGGGGTCACTGCCCATTTTTTGTACAATACTGAGCGTCAGTGCATAAATTCATAGTCTTTTGATTATAAAACCTTTGCATGGCCCTTCGATACCATATGCGGAGGTAGCACAGAAGGTTTCGCAGAACTCATTCGCATTATTTGTGTCCATGTGCTTCAAGTTGTTGATGAACCCGCCCTCATGCTACCTACTGCTAGCTTTCTGGTTAGCTCAATTGGTAAATGAGTGGCCGCCCTGGAAAGGCGTTGGTCTCGGGTTCAATCCCTGAACTAGGAGGAATTTTTCGGCAACTATGAAGCTTTTCTTACTGTGATCCGTACGGATTTCCTTGTTGCTTCGGGCCACAAATGGGTGGTTGTCTATTTTCGCGTTCCCTTCTGCTGTATTAATATTTGCAGTCTAATACACATTGTTCACTCTCAGTATTAATTATATACTCATGTATTTCATTGCTAACTTGGCTGCAGCAGAATGTTTTGAGAGGTTTAGAATAAACTAATGAGCTATTATAATGAATGCCCATTTATATCACTTGTGTTCAATTGAAACATTGGATAGCTCGCACTGTCTGTCTGTTGTCACACACTTGTGCATTATTACCCAATGTCAAATGTCCCTTCGCCAATCCTCCTGTTTCACGGCGCAACGCACAATGTATAGACAAGCATTATCCAAACGAGCATTGTAGAAAGTTTTTGTTGTATTACATGCAGTTATGGAGATGTGCACAGCATTCGAATCCTGCGTGATCGATACTGTGCTTTCATAAACTATGGCAACAAGCTATCACCCGGAAGAGCCATGGAGGCATTACAAGGACATGTGCTGTGTGGAACAGCAATTACCATCCGGTTCCCGGACAACAACTACCTTGAAAATGGTTCCAAGAAAGGTCCAGTGACCGTGCTCCGAAAGTCCAGTCTGATGTGAGAAGCCCTACCTATTGCTTGATTTGATTGGTTGCTCGGTTGCCAGTGACAGCAACCTTGCAGTTATGATTCTAAAATTGTCTTGCTAAATGTTGCGTGGTATTTTCAGGACGTCAACAGTAGAGAACAAGGCTGCCAGCACCTCGAGTGGACCAAAGGCCAAGTTATCAGGGCCGGTAAATGGCAATGAGTGCTACTTCTGGAGAACTACTGGCTGTATTTTTGGTGATGACTGCTACTACGAGCACATTCCTTGTAACAGGGGTATTGACTGGAAGATGCAGCGTACCAAATAAAAGAAAGGCTACCATGATTGCCGTCAGACATTCGCCTTCACCGACTTCTGCCATCGCCTTGAGAGGCGCCCAGCCAGTGAACAGTCGGGAGGGAGGAGGGAGTGGACTGGAGAGTAGGGGGCCACCGTTCTCGGCTCACATTTCCGGATGTTCTTGAGAGGCGTCCAACCAGTGAATGGTCGAGAGTCGGGCGCGAGCGGATGGGAGAGTGGTGTGCAGAGAAGAGAGAGAGCGAACGGTGAGAGAAGGAGCGGCAAAGCACTGCACCTACCCTCTCTCACACCCTCTCGCACCACATGCTTCGGTTCGGTTGCTAGGGGCAAGGATAAGCGCATGTGCCTGCAGCTGTTGCTATGGGAGAAGGAGTGAGAGCGAAGACACATCTGCCAGCGCGCGGATGCTACGGACAACGCCGGATGCCTGGCATAGCCCAACTAGGAAATGCACTCGCATCTAAAAGAAAGTGGGGGGGGGGGGGGCATAGCAGTGTTAGAAATTTTATAGGCCTTATTCCAAACAAAGCAGAACACTGCAACCACCTTCATTGTAATACACTGGTGCCCTGCAGAAAAGGGTATCATGATTTCGAAGCGGCTGTTAGCACTACTCATGGGACAGCAAATTTTGTTCAATGAAACGTGTATACTACCACATAATTGTGAGCACTAGTATGATAGCTGATGTCAGAAAAGGTTTCTGTAAATAATTCAAAACAGTGTATGACGCTTTTGCTGCCCTTAAAGAAAAAGAACTGCACAATTTTTGTTTTGTTTTTTGGCCACCCCTACTCCTCACTTTCACGAATCCGTTGAATTTCAAAGCTGCCAGCTTGGCAAATCCTCATTTTAATTCATGTATTCTGTCAAAGGATTTGACAGACGCAGCAAGTGCTAATGTGGACTTTATCATAGTTTCCTCAGTGGAGTGGATCAAAATACTTGTTTTATTGAAACAGCAGTGCTCATGTTTACTCTGGATGATTTAGATGATGTTGAAAGGCTTGAATATACTTTTTTTTTCTAAATGTCGGCCTTCTTTGCTCCGAATTCGGTATTTTGTGATTAAAAAAATTGATGTTTTATTTCCCATAACCTGCTTCAAATTTTCATTTTAGTGCTCCAAAAGTAAGATTCTGCTGCTTCAAAAATTGCTCCAAATCCTATTTTGGCTATTGTACTCCTGATCCACCAGTTATGCAACAACCCGAATCTTACAACGAATCTGTTTGGGCCCAGCAAAGCCCTCTAGAAATAATGTTAAAAAAAAAAAAACTACGTTGGGTTACACATTCCAATTTTGGGCTGGCACCATGTGTGGACAAAAAAATAAAAATACCGTCGTTGACTTGAATTAGATGCACAACGATTATGCTCAGGTTCAAAATGAAAATTGGCAATGATACTAGCAATGATACCAGCTTTTTAATATAAACTTTACTCACTGCAGTGATCTGGTAGTTAGGGTGCTCGACTGCTAAATGAAAGAATGGTCGCGGTATCGAATCCTGGCGGCAGTGGTTGCACTTCGATGGAGAGGATATGCTTGAGGCCGGTGCACATAAATTTGGAAGCTCGTTACAGAAACAACGAAATTTTTGGGGCACGTCACTACAGCGTTCTTCATAATCATAATATGATTTTATTATTTCTAAGGTCAAACTAACGTGCCTCTATTTTTTCAATTAGAAGAGAGATCTAGGCTAACAGAGTGTGCCTTCAGAGAATAAGAAATTCATTTTCCTGCAGTTAATTACTTCTGGATGCAAGTTGATCGTATGTGTATTCAAGGGCTGTTACGAGAACAAGCTTTATCTACACGGAGTCGCTTGAGATTTTTTGCGAGCTAGTCATTGAGCTCCGGGTATTGTCCTGTTTAGGCCCGTAAAAACTTTTCCCATTAGATGGGCATATGAATATCTCCTCTCTTTGTTCGAACTGCTTACAGTCACAAGCTTCAGGCATGCAAAAACAGCACGACGCAGCGATCTCCAGCATGCAAAAAAACTTTCCCTTATTTTGAGCTTTCATAATAAAGCATGTCACAATGGCACTGAATTGCAAACAGATACGATGCACACAGGTTGCAGTTGCACTTAAAATGAACCTCTGCAACCTTGTAACAAAATTTGCCGTCTTTTGATGGAGGCAACATGGTAGAACCCATGTAGTTTGCATTATCAGGGCATGTTAAAGAACATCACATAGCGTGAATTCGTGGAGCCCTCTGCTACAATATCTCTCATAATTATATTATTTTGGGGTATAAAATCCTTCATAGTATTTGTATTGTGCTTAGTCTCTACTTTATGATGATGGTGACACTGTATTTGACCTCCGATAAGAGGCTGTTGTCAGTGTGACATGTGTTTCAATTTCGTACTTTATTCTGACACACAAGCAATTTTTAGACTTGTTTCATCAAAAACAAGGTGCGTATTAAGTTCCTTTTTTTTTCTAGGTAAGAATAAAAATTAGCTCACTATTGAAAACTTAAAAGAATATAGTGCAAGAAACGACATATAGAAAAGGAAACTTGGCAATAGACTGGCATAGTCTTCCTTTCTTTTCTGTGTTGGTAATTTTTTGTGCTGTATAATCTTTTAGCGTGCATAGACAGCCATCTAGCCCAACGTTCTGTTAAGCTCACACCTCGTCTATATAAATACTTGCCAGTCATCTTTCAAAATAATTCTATCTACCCACCTTGGAGCTGTGCAGGCTTGGGCCAGGGGCTTATTCAGGTGACTTGTAACCTTTTTTTTGTTTGGCAAGGCATTATTGCCTGAATTCTTCGTTTTTGAATTATACAGCACTCAAACTATACGACAGTTCTGCATAGTCCCCTAAATTTGTGTAGTTGGAGTTCCACTGTGTATTGCTTGGAACAGCAGCAGTGCATGCAGTATGTTCTGACTATCAGTAATGGTGAAAAGGAAATAACTGCAGTGATTTGATAGGTGAAAGCATATTGTTATTATTTTGAAAATTGGTGGATCACACAAGTGAATTTTAGGTCATGTTCTGCAAACTGATTAAACTATAGAGTCCTTAGCGTATTTCTCTCTAAGTTTTTTTATGTACGATAGTTTTCAGTCTTCTGAAATGTTTATTTTCAGAAGAGGTCATAAATGCATGTATAATTTTGTTCTGTGCTAAATAAGTTACCTTTTGCAACTCACATATTCACCATCATTCAGAGGATCTTTTTGGCTCAGATGTTGAGTGCAACAGCAACCTTCCTTTGAGGCAGGCTTTCCCAGTATCTACTAAGCAGGGGCTCGAGAATTTCGGTTGGCTTTTTGGGTCTTGTGCTATTATATGCAGCTTTTCTTCAAAGATAACCTTAATTCATATCGATTCTCAAGCTGTCATTGTGGGAATAGTGGGGGTATTAAATGATACACAGATCTAACATTTTTCAATAAATTGTTGACCTGACTGGTTGATGAAGGCTAGAAGAATTGTGTAACGATGCAAGGATTGGGAGAAGCAGGCTGACACAGACGCCTGTCTTTGCTAGCTTGTCTTATTTGTTATTCTGCTACCCAGCTATTTTAGTATTTTTTATCATTATATTGAGCTGTTGTTTGCACTGTTAACTATGTAGTTGAAGGGACTGATTACTTTGTTATCATGTAGCATGGCAAATAGCTTAGTTGTCATTTCTTTTCTTTTTTTCTTTTCAGTGATGTGCCACTGCTTGTTTTGCAACTATGGTAAAGAAAAGCTCACCACATAACTGCCTTACATTGAAAACTGCTTTGTGACCATGGAAAATGGCTCCTCTGATCTTGGGACCAAGTCATTGTTATGGCCAGTCATTCCTTGTGTTTGCTCATTGTTCACATAGAAAGACTGCAGCATCTTTACTGTTTGAGTGTGTCTGCATGCGTGTGTGTATGTATTTGCGTGTTTATCTTTGTGAAGCCAACAGTTCGGCATTTGCCTTGGACTGCAACGAGTCTCTTTTGACTGCTGTGCCCCGACTTGCACACCAGGGCTGTGCTAACACAACTACAACAGTATAGTATTGTGTTTTGTTTTAGATTCCAGTCTCATGTATGTTGTAGCTCCTAGTCTCTCAGAATTTTTGTCATATAGTGCTCCTTTATCACTTTTGTTTCCTGCTAAACTTCACTGTTTAAATTTGGGATTGTGTGAAAGCCTAGAAAAGAGAGTCTTAAGAGTTGAAGTTCATAGGGTGTGCTCTGGTTGAGACAATCTAATAAACACTCGGGACCTTTGATAGTCGATGCCAACTTCAGAGCTGAATAGCGGTGTTCTATTTATGCAGTTTTAGTCAAGTCAGCAGTTGGTGCTACTCTAGCGCCTGTGTATCTCGCTTGTATGAAGAAATGTAATGCGACACTGATTTTGAAATTCGTTATTATATTATTTTTGTTAAGTACACTGAAATTTCGACACATGAAGCCGATATCTTGTCCAAGTTTCGGTGTGCTCAACAGCAATCTTCAAAATGAATTTCAACTAACTGGCCCTGCTCGCCATCTTGCTGCTATGAGACACTGCTGTCTGTTAAGCTTATGTTCATTGACTCTTGCAAAAGTTGTTTTCAGGGTGAATGGTATTCATTAGGAGTTTCCCTATGTTTGTGCCTTGAAGTAAAGGTGTTGTTTGTGTCATGAGTCTTATTTTCACTATAAAATAAATGAAATTTAATTTTTACTGTGTCTTTCGAAGTGCCCGACTTGTTGTCAGAGTTCTTCAAAATCCAGCAGGGCAGTGAACATGTTTGTAGAAGTAATTTATTAGCAGTGTCGAAACTATGTGCAAAAGCACCAATTTCACTGTTCTCTTGCCCACCACCATGCACACACACCCACACTCACACTCGTTGAGCCATAAAACCATTCAGTCTTCTCAGCTTTCAGCAGTGCTCCATTTCTGATATGGCAGTACGTTTTGAGTAAGTAGGGCTCCGCAACCTGTTCCAAAGGCACACTGGAATGATAAAACTAATTCAAAACTCCTTGTGAGTTCAGTAATGCTGAATGTCTATTTACAACAAAGTGGTAATAAAACATGTCCACCGTCAGCTGCGGCAAGAGAGTGAACAGTAGACCAACAAGTCAATGTATGTCTTGACTAATGTCTGAGTGGGTCCTTTGCACAGAGGCAAATTTTTTCATCAGAGAGTGTACTTCCGATGTTGGTGGGGATGTGCACGAAAAGCTGGCAGCCTGAATTTGCACCGTGAGCATGTGTATGGCATTTCTGTCCCCTCATTTTTGTATTCTCTCACTGGGGACATTAAGAAACTTATGGTGCAATGCTCAGTAGTAGTTCTTGTACTCATTGACTGCTCTCGCCACTGAACCCAGCACCGTGTGCCAGTGGCTTGCTTCTCCATCGCCCACCAACATCGACACTAGTCATGCATTCAAACCAGTAGCTGATACTTCCTCAGGGCTGGATGGATCAGCTATAAGTGGCAGGTCCCTGTCAACCTTGCTTGGCTTTGCGCTGCTCTCTGGCTTCTTAATGGTGACTTCGTTATGTTCATCAGATTCTACTGGTGTCGTTTGTGTAGCTGTTGGTGTAGTGCTTGCAACTTCTGAACTGGTTTCATCTACTGTTGTGGTCTCAGCCTTGTTGCCATGGTCCCTTTTGTATGCTCTCTCATCATCAATAGTGTGAAACCTTGGATCAGTTGGTTTTTCTTGACCATTTTTGTTCTCGGGGTAGTCCTCATTGCTAGCTTCTGTTGTGGATGGGTCTCGTGACCTTTTTTCTGGAAGAATTTCAGGAGTCGCACCGTCACGTTCTTCATAAGGTTCTGTGTAGGAAGTGCTCATTGCAGTCGTCTCTGCTGTTGTCATTGATGTGGTTGTTTCATCAGTGCGATACGTGGAAGGATTCATGGTAATCTCATCAGGGCTTAACGTGCTCTTTTCTGTAGGTGACCCTGATGTGGGTGCTTCTCTTTCGAGGCCACCAGGGGTGGTGAGGTCCACTGAGGGGTCCACAGTGTAGAAAGTAGTTGTAGGGGGTGTTGGAGGCACTGTTTTTTCACTGTACGTTGTTGGTTCCACAGTTGTGGTGCTTGTCGTGGGTTCTGTCATAGTAGTGGACTCTGTAGTGGTGGTGATGGGCTCATTGGTAGTCGTGATCATCTCCGTTGTGGTTGACTCTGTTGTTGCAGCTGTGGTTGATTCTGTTGTTGTGGTGATGATGGCAGTTGTTGTATCCACTCTGTCTGCACGCTCCTCAGGTTTGGGGGGTTCGTTACGTAGGCTAGAGGATGTTGGAGCTTCTGTAGTAGTAGTAGTCGTTGATGGTGGAGGGTCAGTTACAATATGGGGATGAACCTTGATGCGAAATTTGGGGTCATAGCGTGGGTAGTCTGGAGGGTAATGCCTGTGATGGGGCTTGAAGTGCTTGTGGTGCGAGTCATCCCAGCCTGTTGCGAATTTGTCCCAAGCGCTTGTGTCCGGTTTCCAGCCGCCTGATGGTGACTGCCAGCTGCCACTAGAGCTGTAGTGTTCCCAGCCACTAGCCGCTGGCTTCTCCCAGCCCCCCGACTGTGATGATCGTTCCCAGCCTCCGGATGGTGGGCGCTCCCAGCCACGTGTAGGTTTCTCCCAACCACTGGATGGGTGTCTATCCCAACCACTGGAGGGATGCTTCTCCCAGCCACTAGAGGGATGTTTTTCCCAGCCGCTGGAATGGTGTTTGTCCCAACCACTCGAGTGGGGTCTGTCCCAGCCTGCGGAGTGCGGCTTTTCCCATCCACTGCTTGCGTATTTCTCCCATCCCGAAGGCGGCTTCCATGTGGGCTTCTCCCAACCAGTGCTAGGTTTCTCCCAAGGGAAGTGCTCCTCGGGTTCAGGTGGTGGTGGCCTTTCTAGCGGGTCCTTCGTGCCACTCACAATGCGTATCTTGGGGCTCACATGCAGGCGAAATTTTACTGGTGGGATGCGTATCTTCGCATCAACTGTCTTGTAGTGTGGTTTCTTTTTGATGTGCCAGCCGTGACCATGGCCGTGGTCGTGACTGTGGTCGTGGCTGTGGTCTTCCCATGAGTGATGGTGGTGGTGATCTTCCTCAGGCGCAGCAGGCCGGATCTTGATGGTCACAGCACCGTGCTTTGGTTTTGGTGGGTTCCACGGTTGTGGCTCCCAGTGACTGGGTGGAGGTACCCAGTGCTCTTCAGGTGGTGAGATCCAGGGCCCTGAGCGTGACTTACTTCGTGGGTAGCTGCTGACTGGAGCCCGGTAAGGCGACTCCGGCCGCCTGTACGAACGGGGCGGTGTCAGACTGTAGGTTGGCCTGCCGTACTCGGGCTCGTCGTGGTGCGCCGAACTTCTCAACGGCCGCGAAGCAGCCTCATAAAGTGGCGCCGATGCGGCAGCGGTGGCGCTCGGCTTGGAGCCGAACGGTGCGAACAGCATGCCCAGGAACTGCTTGGTCGCCTGGTCTGTGAAATCCGACTGGCCCCGCACGGCAGTGGCCGCTAGGGTCACTAGCACGAGGGCTTTCATCTGCACAACAATATACATTGCACCTATCACATGCATTGTACTGATAAGCAATACTAGAAATAGCATTCACACTGTGAACTTAATGAGCTCCCACTCCCTTTGCAAAAGCTCTCTTTAAAGACCTTAGTTGCTCATTCCCTTTTGCTGGTTTCTCAAACCGAAATTTATGGCTACACATTGATGTCTACTCGATGATCATTCATTTTTTGTGTGTGTGAGAGAGAGAGGAGCACTTAACTAACAAAGAACTCAGTAGCAATGCGAGGTACAACCAGCTTGCTCAGTAAGTCGATTTCGTTAGTCTAAGAGTCTGGACACCCTGACAGGCATGTTGCTTGTTTTTTGTCCAATCCTCACGAATACAAGCCTAGACACCCAGCTCCGGGCCATCAAACACACTGACGAGGTGGCGACCAGGCATGGCCTGACAGCCCTCGCCACTTAGGAAACCGTCAGCTGCCTTAATAAAGTTGTTTACTACTATTGTCCTAGTCTTGTGAAGTAGTAAGGTTCTCTTCTTCTGTTATTTTACTATCTCCCTACTTTTTTTTTTCTGGGTTTGAAGTGATCAATCGCACAGAGCAGTAACAGTGGGAAAGAAAGATTCCATGAGTTTGTCTCGTGTCGCACGCTGGCGCTGTGCCCACAAACACACAAATTTCGACTGAGTGGGGGATGGGAGGGGATGCTGCCCCTCCCCCCGGTTATAGCGTGCATAGTTATGGAATCTTGTAGAGCATTGATATGACGAACTGACTTAAGTAAACAGATGTTGCGTTTCACCGGTATCTTGGACACTCGTTTTGCCATGTCAGCAATGGTTTCGATAAAGTGCCAACACGGCCCGTTCTAAATGAAATACCAGGGGAACGCGAAGGTCGATATATTGCGTGACTGCGGGGATATGAAGTCGCCACCTGGGGCTTGCTGCGTGAAGTCGTACTATGAAGCATGCGCTAGTGCACTTCGTGTATCGTTTGTTCCGTGGCGCGTGCTCTTGGTCGGACGTAAATAAATGAATAAAGCTCGCAAACGCAGTTTATCGGGGGCTATAGTTCGCTTTGCGTGAGGCAAGCTTACTTCGTGCGCTGCCTAAGCCGAAGTAAACTTCGAAAAAGAAAAGGAACTGCAGAGAGGCCGCTGTACCTCTCACCAAGGCTCTTCTGCGCCTTGGCGCGCAGGTCAGACGGCCACTCGGATCCGGGATTCGCTCGCGACAATGAAAAAGCGTGGCGCTTTTCGCTGTGCTGTTTGGGCCGTGTCCTTTCGCTCCGGCTGTCGCGCGTCAAGCTGACAGCGGCTCGTTTGCTGTGTTGCATGGTCTGCTGCGCTGTCACTTGCCCGCTTGTGACGTGGGAAGTTGGATCTGCGGAACGGCCCTGGCCGTGGAGGCTGTCGCGCAGCGAGCGTGAATGCGCCCAGGTTCACGGGCGTTCATGGGCCTCGGGACTAGCTCGTACCGTTCGGGGAGAGGCACATGCCAGCGCTGAATGAAGCAGCTGACAAAAAAAAAAAGCGTGCCGTTTTTCATTTCTCGAATTTGTCCCGTGGTAATGTAGTTCAACGTCAAACACGTGCCTCCGAGCCTCGGCCTCATAATTTGTCCCGGCACCAATGCTGGTCAGAAGTCCCCATTTCGGCTGTGGGCAAGAAGAAAGCGGACGTTCCCAATGAGAGAGTTTTCTCATTGGAACGCTCGACTGTCCGCGCTCCCTCAGGGCGACCCCCTGTTGATACATTGGTGCAGGATGGTGGACGTATTTATTCGCGCACTTTTCCCCGCGAGGCCCAGTCGAAGGAGCGTCTTCGGGTACCGTACAGGATGGAGACGTGTTTATTATTTTCTTTCCTTTATTGCGGTGCGCTATCTTTGCGTCTTCACCTCGCTCAACTTTCCAAGTTTCTGTGCCCCGATTCCAGAAGGCGAGGGTGCCTTTCCTCGGCTATCAGAGGAAATTCCCGGCGTCGGACGTGCCATTGTTCTTATCAAAACGAAGAAGGAGACTGCGGCCGCCCCGTACAGCATAAGCTGGCCGCCCTGTCACCTCGCGTGTCCCGAAAAGACTACTATAACGTTCTCGCGACGACTCGATAATCGTCAGTTACCGAAGGGCGCAGCCCGACCTGTTTTGCGTCGGCCACCAGCCTAGGCCGCAAGCGTACGCGTTCAGGCGACGTCCCTGCAGGTGGCGCACCAACTGCAGTTCGTCATCTCCTTTTCGCCGATCCGTGCAGCTGCAGGGCTAAACTGCGCGCTGCAGTCTAGCCCGGCCGTGGTTTAGCTCGTACCATCTTCCGGCGTACTCTTCGAGGGACGAGCACGCGCCGGTCGTGCAAAGGCGCATGCGCGCTGTTGTGACTGCGCTGTGAATTAAACCCGCCATCGCATGCATGGGCGGCGCGTTGCTGCGTTACAGGCCACCATGGTTGCGTGCGAGACACGACAAATGTCTGGCAGCTGCGCCCCTGAATGTCCGAATAGCGCGCGCCTCATTAGCACCGCCCTACCTGCGCTTCTATAATCACGTACCAAAGGCTTTGGCGTCCAAGCTGTTGTTGTTTTGCGCTGGTGATCTTGAGGCGGAGTATCTGGCATTTCACAGAAGCCACACCGTTTCGATTACGGAGCAGCTTTGCCATTGCGGTTCGCACTCAACTGTTTTGGACACGACATGTGGGGCTTAAACCGGGAGAGAGGGAGGGAGGGAGAGAGGCGGCCATCGGCACCAATTTGACTAGTGCTGAAATACTTTTATTTTTCTTTAAGTAGTGCTTTATGCTGAAGAATTATAGGTGTACAATTTTAATAATATTAATTAAATAACAATTATTCGGTCAATGTGGCATCAGCCAAAAAAGTTTCCACGGCCACGCTGGCGGTGAGAGCGCGCACTTCTCAGCTGCTCCCGCTGACGAGAGTGGCGGCTGGTAGAGGCGGTGCGGGCGCGCACTGCCGTTACAAATCCAAAGGCCGCTGGCGGTACTGCTGCGTATTCAAGTAAAACAATATATAAAAAGAGGCAGGACGCATAGCAAAAATAGGGGACGTATAAAGAGGAAGCGGCGTTACATCCAAGTGGTCAGGCGAGCAAAATTCTGCTCTCGCTCTCCTATCTAGTGCTGTCGGGCTCGTTTCAACACCCAGTGGCGCGTGTCTGCTATATTTATTCGATTGTGAAGACAGCCACCAGTAGGAACCAAGGCCAAGCAGTCGAGTTTAAACGGCGTTCTGCCGGAAATAAAACGAGCGTATTATGCAACATACGGCACATGTAAACTTTTTTTTATCTGGCCCGCTGAGCGTTGAGTCGTACTCTTCAGGACTAACAAAGTTTCCATGCGTCCATACATCTGACCACCACCACCAAACTCCATGTGATGCCACCGCGTGAAGGGAATGATACGTTATGCAGGTAGTCTTCTTCTTTTTTTTTTTTTTAGAAACAGTTGCGTGTAAAAGAAAGCTGCCTTGCCCACGAGTCTTGTGCTGGGCCACGTTCACCTACGCCTCTGAGCTGTTATAAAAGATACTCTCTCGGTGAACTCTCGATGCCGAGATGCCTCTGTTTAAATTAATTTGTGCAAAAGACGGGGTCCTTGTTAGAAACAATCGAAGCTTAGCTTTCTGGAGTCGGCCGACGCGGTAAGCGTTTTTCTCACTGGCTGCTGTGGTAAGTAACATTGGAATTTCTGCCTTGCTAGAGAGGTATCAATTGTCTTCGATTTTTACTCGTTCTTTAGTTCGCCAAACCCACAGTTTCAGTTTTTACGCTTGCCTGTGTCGGCCTAAAACGGCGTCTGATGAACCTCGATAATTGCTAGGCTTTCATATGCCAAACAACATATCATTTTGAGGTACGCTGTAGTCTGCGTATCAAGATTGTAACCGCTTGGGGTTCTCCAATGCGAACATATATCTTGGTTCACGGGTGTTCTTTCACCCCTCATCGAACTGTGGCCGCCGTGGTCGCTAATCTTTCCTGCGCACTCAAGAATAGCAGCGCGACAGCACACGTGCTATGCTGCCACGGTGGTTTGCTTGATCAACGTCCCCGTGCATGCTTACAGCGGACAGGGCGTACAACCGATGCCCGAAAAAAAAAAAGGACGCAGCTACCACTGACTTTACTTTTGTTTTGTTTTACTGCGGATGTTGGCAACGTGGTATCGTTGCAGTACGGACTTATCAATGTGGGCATGTTATCCAGTACTAGCATTAGCCCAAAACCCAGCAAGCAACCAGAAAATGAAGACGAGGGAGCTGTCATCACGGCACAGCGCTGTCCCTTCGATACTACATATGCATGGACGCAGTCCGCTTTGTAGGGCTTCTCTCCATTTTTCATTGCTTTTAGAGGCGGAGCATCTTATACTCGCGCCGTCCGCACCGCTTCTCGAACATTCGACAGCTGACGCGCGCGCATGCGCCGTCGCGCCGTCGCCCACTCTTCCACCATCTGTGCATCCCTTCCTCCTCTACACACCGCGCGCGCTTCACTCCTCCACCATCTGTGCACCCTTCCTCCTCTACACACCGCGTTCGACATCTACAATTCTCCTGATTCTCCAGTGGACGCGCATGTGGCGTCGCGCTTCGAGAACATTCAACAGCTGACAGTGCATGCGCCGTCGTGCTGTATATATACTCAAGGTCGGCGCTCGCTCGCTCAGTTGCCGCTCGTCGGTTGGTTTGTACGGCGCGTCGACGTCCAAGGTCGCGGTGAAATGAATTCCAACGAATCCACAAACACAATGATCGACGTCCCTTCGACCAGCGCCGCCCTTTCGCATACGTGTGTACGTGTTCACTCATTTAACACCCCCTCCTACAACCACGTTAACCAATTTAGCCATCGACCCAAGTAAGTCGCAATTTAACACCCCATTTCACAACCACGTTAACCAATTTAGCCATCGACCCAAGTAAGTCGCACTTTAACACCCCGTTAACCAATTATATGGTCCGCATCCTCCTCAGTGTTCCCCCGAGGGAAGCTGCGGGCAATTTTTTTATTTGA